ACACCCCCTAACTGACCTTGACCCGACTCGGACACTCCCTGCTTCCGGTTTCGGTTTCGGTTCAGTGCATGTGTGTCGTTACCACACTCCAGTCTTCTCCCCTGTTCCACCCGACCTGTGCGCATGTGTGCCGTGTGTACCGTGTGGTTCCACTAATAACAGTCCATATATCTGCACATTTCAGAACTGAAGTTTGCCGTCGCTACATCCCCTCGAACGTCGAATACCGCTGACTTCCTGACGTCTCACGCTACAGAAAAGCATCTATCAACGCTTGCCATTTTAGCCGATGACGTTGGAAGTTTTTGAGTGTATTGGTCAGTTCTACCCTAACTTATGTAAATGAAATGCAGTCGGCGCATTTGGAAGCACCTTGAGCGTTCATACCTACGAAGTATTAAGCGTGTCCGGTGCATATATAAAATTATTGATCCCGACGTAGTACAGATCGTCCTAAAAAACCACCCCGTCGATTACTTAAATGTTCACACCAGTAACGCTGGGTTGTCTTGAAGAGCCTTTTCCTTACAGCTTTTGTTGGATGGCCAAAACCCAGGGGGTTCTCCATGCTTTGGCAACGAAAAATGAAAGCCCTAGCCAACAGACTTATTTTTTTAATACTACTGTTTCCTTTGTTGGGGGCCTCAGGACAGGACAAACCAATGGCTAGTAACCCCGAGAAACGTGGCTGCCACGCATAAAATCGCGGTCTTGTGTCTAGGTTGTTTCACTCGCTGCGTAGGTTTCACTACTGCCATATTGAGTAAACATGTCCATCCGTGCACAGATTTGTCATCTCCCTATCACATGGCGGTCATTCGGCTGTTGTCATGATTATTGAAAAGGGCAATTTAGCACCTGGAATCATTGCACCTTGGTGCACGGATTGTGAGCCGAGAATATGAACGGAACCAAACACAAATACACCACGAGGACGGTTATTCGCCCTTGTTCTCCAGGGCAGGGGTCTAACTGCGCGTTGCGTTCCGAGGAAATCGGGATGCGGGTCACGAATTCATGGCCATAGCAACAGCGGAGAACGTTGGCGAAGGGGTGTAGTCTATCATCCAAATTCTAGGAATTCTCCAGTAGAACAGTGCGGTGTCTTCAGCCTTGTGTGGTGAGATATACCGCTTCATTCCTCATAGTGTTTGTTGGTGAACATCTCTGGCTTTCCCGCCTATCATCGATATGTAATTCTGCAAGTACTAGTTTTTCCGGAGCGCGAGAGGTAGAGTTCAGTGTAAATACGTATGAAGCATTCGCTCATTAGAAAATCAGAAGGAGCCAACTGCTTATAAGATGGGCAACTTTCGGCTAGTACTTGTAACAACCAAACGGTGTCTTCGAGTAACGCATATTACCAGAAGCTCCTGAAAGGCAAACTTAGTAAAAGCTGAGTTTCTCTGGAGTGTTATTAACGTAAGACGTCAGTTCACGGAATGTACTAACCCCGATAGTAGATATTCTTCCACAATGAATGGTCTACTTGGACTATAAAATTACGAGCCAAATGAGCAAACAGGCTCCCACATTAGCCAGATACACGTACATAAGGTCGCCCACGAAACAATCAAACAGACAGTTTAGACACACGCACTAAAGATAAAAATGGAGTGGGGTATCGAAAGGGACAGAAGAAATGTGGGGAATTTTAGGTAAAGTAATTGCCGATACAACATTGCTATATATGGCGAAAGGTAAATGCAAAAATGTCAGGCATCCTGTTTCAGAAACAAGTAAACCTAAGCTCGAATTCAGAGCATTTTTCAGAGAAATATGGAGGTAAAAACTGGCTACAAATTGTGAATTCTGGAATGGTGCCACGAAAAAAGTAAAGGTTGAGTAAAATTTTGGCGCGTACAAACCACCACCATCATCCAAAGTGTATCGCACTGCACAAGAATGATGCTTTATTTCCATGCAACCATGATTTACTGGATGGCCTTGTTGTAAAAAAAGATTGATAGAGAAGGGACTTGCTGCCAGCCCGCCACAACCATTCCGAGATGATCACGTCCCCAAGCTGGATAGAAGCTGACATCATGAATGCCATTGGCATCAATTAATAGTCAGGGATCTCAGTGTCTCCAGTCAGACGCAGTGTTGATCACGAGGCCTCATCCTGAAAGAGCAACTTGATTACTTGTTTTTGATGCGCAAACACATGGATACCAAGCCAGCAGCTTGTTATCCTACTTGTATCAGACTTTGGACACAACGCAACCAGATAGGCTGGCTTGAAAAGGCTCGAAGATAAATTCGGGGATGCCTGAGGATGTCCGTGCCGGATGACGCGAAGATGTTACTTGCGAAGCCGATGCAAGACGAATGCAGTCATCAGTCCTACCCGCTGGATCTACAAAGAGAACTACCATCTGGGTGGGGAACGGGGATAAAAAGTGTGTGAAGGGGAAAACGAGAGGCTTCAGAAATAGCTTGTTTTCACTTACTCGCCCTCCTTCATGAAGCTCTTAAGGCGGCGCGGCTGGTGGCACCATGCGATAATTAATGTGGCATGAGTAGTTTCCTAGTTATAAATGTCATGGTTGTCCGTGGACTGTGCTGCTTCCAAGGTGCCCGCACCTAGATAAAAAGGATGACTAGGTTTTCCGGCCAAATCCTTTGGCCCAAAGGCCTGACTGCAAAGAAGTGGTTTTTTGTAGGAAATGCCACCACATTTTTATAGGGCAAGTCCCCACAGCCCCCAATCTGGAGGACGATGAAACTGTGTTTGTCAGACCTCCAACCACAGGCTAACCTGCCGTGGAACTGTGATTATCGAACATTGCTCATTTGGTCACGGAGGTACACAAACCCTCCCACCATGCTAAACTGCAATCTCTTTTGACGGTGAGATGGGCAGGGTGTGCTGTTAATAAAAAATTGTGGTACAGCTGTCAATGGTGTGAAAACTGTGGTTGACAAAGGAACTTCTTCAAGGTGGGGGTGGGATAGGTCGATGATTCTGTGCTGTTCTATCGCAGGCAAAATTCCTCATTGATACCTCTCGCAATCAGACGTTACTCCGGCGAAGGACATCCCACATCTGACTAGCGAGGAAAACGGGCCTCATGCCAGTTCAACATGAACTTGGGTTCTGATTGGTCGAAATTGTGGGTCAGTTATTATCCACTACCTGCCGCAGCCAGAGGTCGTCGGAATTTCCAGAACGTTTCCGCCCCATACGCTGCGTATACGGCGCGCTGTACGTTTTTGTGCAATGACACATGTAGTGCATCTTTGGTTGTTCTTTTGACGAGAATGCTAGCTTGGAAGTTTCAGACCGTGAGCTACTTCTACTACTACGAACAGCCTCTAACCGACTTGGTCTTCACGGTGGAGGACATTCGTCAACTCTTGCACAAGATCAACCCATTCTGATCCTGAAAGAAACGTCCTCCACACTGGCAAACCATTTACACTTGGTGTTTCGTCAGTCGCTTGACGAAGGCGGCCTTCCCTGTGCTTGGAAGGAAGCGATTGTCACGCCAATATACAAAACTGGTGACCGACTATCGCCTGGCAGCTATAGGCCTGTAAGCCTCACTAGCGTGCCGTGCAAGGTGATGGAACGCATTCTGAAGCGAGCCATCCTAGATCACCTTACTTCCAGCAATCTGATATCTCCAGCCCAACACGGATTTCTCCCAAACCGTTCTTGCGTGACAAACATGCTCGTGTTTATGGACAGCTTAACCCAAGCCAAGGACGAAGGACTCATATCGGATGCCATATTTTTCGACTTCTCAAAAGCATTTGATAGGGTCCCACACGTCCCGCTGCTC